GAATATTAAGGTAGCATGCAGAGAAAGGAACTCAGTAGAAAGGAGTTTGGTTTGTGGACAGCCAAGATCCTACATGGCAAACTTGGCCTTATTCCTAAGAAAATGGCATAGAAAAAGTCCTGATAAAAGTACTGATGAGAAAGTAAAGGGAAGCCTGTTAGTTCACACTACTTTTCTTATCCAGAAGAAAATCTGCTTTAATAGAAACTTCTATAAAGTTCATCTTCATCTGATTTTAAATTAACCGTGGAATAAGTAAGAAGGAAACAATTAAGCATTAAAAACTTCAAAATGAGCTTGACTTGGTGATTTCATGGACCTATCCATGTTGTTTTCTTGGCAACAATACAGTAGCAGAGTTTGCTGTTGCTTTCTTCCGGGACTTTATTTTTTACTTAGCTGGGAGGTATTTAGTGGAAAATTCCACAGAGGGAGAAAAGGTTGGCCTTTAAGCAGAGACTGGCACATTTCCAACAGCCCACTATCTCACCAACATCTGCACTAGTTTTACTTGTAACAAAATGTGATAGTTTCATTTTTGAATGCAATTATGCAATATTTATTCTTATGTCTATTAACACACTACATTGAAGTAAAAGAATACACACTTTCTTTCTTTTCTAGAAAAAAAAATGAAAAAGGTCGCTTAATTTTTTTAAACTGGTATCCCTCCTGCCCCCCATCTTGTAGAGAGGAGGTTTAAACCATTCTGAGCTACTGAAGAATTGGATTCAGGTGTCTTTTTTCATGCAGATATAAAGTAAGAGTCTAAAGAAAGAGCAAGCAGCCCCCGGACCACATTTTACCTGGTTCAGTTTGATGATGGTATTCTCAAAATCCTTCATATCTCTCTGTAATATCTGAGCTATCTGCTCCCATTCCTGAAATCTGCAACCATCTTTCAGGTCATGGAGTTTTCCACGCATCCATTTTTCAGCCTGAAAGGGAGGAAAAATAAGCAGGTGGGAAAAGTATAGCTGGTGTGCTACACTTAGCTATACTTTCCTTCAGGAAGTTCAAAAGTCATCTCTTGTGTGGGGAAAAGAGAAAGGATATAGGGCACTATGAATAATACCTCTTCTAGTAAAGAAACAAGATCTATAGCATGAATTTATTCACGTAGATGTTACAGTACTATAATGTTGCAGTAGGCTTCCAGCAAACTTAAAACTGCAAGTGGATTCATGTTGGCATTAGGCTGTGCACATAGATCATCTCTCCTCCAGGTAGTGGCATTGGTTGGCTGATTTGCTTCTAGGTTTGGGAAGTGCAAACACACATCCACGGAATAGGACTCAGTGATGGCGAACCTTTTAGAGACCCCCCCAATGCCCCAAACTGCAACCCACAACACATTTATTTATCACTGGGGGCTGGGTGGGCATGGCCGCGGGGGTCATAGCAGACTGGATGGGTGAGGCCAGGGCAGCGGGGGCCAGTCCCTCACCATCGTCAGGTGTATGGCACCGTGCGCCCACAGAGAGGGTGGGAGTAGCCACCTCGGCACGCGTGCCCATAGGTTGCACCATTGGACTAGGTCATATATGTAGGTATAATGAAGTGTGAACTCATTCATTTTGGTTATTCACAGACAAATTCATTGCGCATGATGAAATGAATACACTGGAGGAGAAGAGCAGGCTGAGCTACAAGATGAAGTTAAACGTGCTCATCAATTTGGAGTCTGTGTTACCAGAGGAGAGAGGCCAAGTCCAGCCTCCAGTGAATTCCATTGACCCCTTATTGAGGGCCAGTTTAGCTCCTGACCATTAGTTGACTAGCACATTCTTGTGTTTAGGTGGCAAAATAATAACTCTCCATGTGCTTTGAACTTAATGGAATGCTCCTGGTTAGTTGCACACTTGGCATTAGCCCAATTACGTTTGTTATGTGAACCAGTCATTTTCATATTTCTCACTCTACCATATAGACTTGCCCTAAAAGTTGAGACAGGCATTTAGATGCTTCAAGGAATAAAAATATTCATATTCAGCAGCTTTTCATCTTCACTAAGGATGCTAAATATATCAGCATAGTTATTAAACTCATAGGCGACATTACTCACTTTGAATTCTACAGCAATATCCCCATTCTTGCTTTGTGCTTCCTCAACAAGGAAACATTGGATAACAAAATTGCAAGGAGGCAATCAGGAAATTGGCACAACCCGAGCTTCTGCTTTGGACAGCCGTATCCCCAAGGAACCAGACACGCATTAGCAAGCTTCACAGAACAGGTGAGACATTAAATCTTTGGTTTGTAACACCCAACTGTTGCTAAAGTACTCAGCAGAAAGTAATTGAGCATATTTCCTTTCATGGCAATGAAATTATAGTACATGATGACAAGTAAACCATGACTTTTCCTACTGGAAGCCACATATTCAAGCACTTCAGAACCTTCTAAAAACAATCATTATTTCACTATTTTATTTGAAGGCACAGGTCACAACCCAATTCTATTGTTTGGCAGACTTACACCAACCCATTTAATGCCCTCCCTGCACAAAAGTGAGATGTCTAGTCATGCCTTTCCCTTCAAAAAAAAAAAAAAAAATGGGGGAAAAAATCAACATTTCTGTGTACTGACCTACTGTCCTTTGCCTTAAAGAGAGGCTTGCCAAGGAGACCTCATGCCATAGAAACAGCTCCCTCCCGCTAGCCAAAGAACCGTGCTTCTTTCATTCTGCACGTCCTCTCACTTAATAAAGGAAAAGTCTTTTGGCAGCAAAACACTTAGCGCTCTCTTCCTTTCTACTGCAGTTTTGAAAAGAAGAGCCGAAGGACAGCCTTTTATTCGTCCTCTGTGTTGTGGCAGAAGAAGAAAGAAAAGCCAATTTCCTCCTTTCGCCAATTCATTTCTTTACCTGCAACCCATGCACAGTGAAACTGGAGCTTTAGGAGAAGGCTCCACTTGGATAGGTCTGCCAACTCCTGTGCTGCTTTATGCGCAGGGCTTCAGCTCCACTACTGTGCCTGGTGGTATTTTGTGTGCTCTCTTTCCAAGGAGATGCGTTGAAAAGCAGAGGGCTTGCCAGTCTAGGAAGGAGATAGAGAGAGACAGAGTGAGAAAGTTAGCTTCTTGGATTTGGCCAGAATCAGATAGAAAGAGAAGTAATATGACTTAAGACTTGGTTCGAAAACCAACAACTGGTGTCGGATATAAATGGAAATGCTGAGGCTTTAATTGCCCCACCCTAAAACGATGCATTGCTGAAAAGATGCTACAGTTGTGTGTTAAGTCTTCTTTACTACATGCTTGGAAAGTTTTGGAGTTTGTCCATTCCTTCAAATGTACAGAGTATGGTGTGGAGAGACTTGAAGGCATGTCACATGGCACTGATTTCTTTACCCAATCCCTCCAAACAGTTCAAAGAGTATCAATCATCTGTACTCCCTGCTGACTTCGGCACATTGAGAAGGTATTAAGTGGCAATGAAACAATCATAGTGCGTATTCAACAACCAGCAGAAATCTCAAACCCCAAAGTCATGCAACAAAGACCATTGAAGTTACTGCCTTTTCACGAACAACTACAACAAAATCTCATATCCACTCCAATAATTAAATTGGTAGTCTCCTGCCACCCTAGGTCTTTGTCCGGGTGGGATTCAGCCGGTTTCGCATCACTTCGGCAGAACCAGTAGTAATATTTTGTTGCACCAGACCCACAGATGGACTTCCAGAAGAGGCGCTCAATATGGGAATCCCCCCACTGTCTTAGTATATAATCCCTATACTTTTTCCTTACTGTAAAATATGTAAGAATTTGTAACAAAAGGAAGCTACCATTCTCTTCTAAGAAAAAATCTCTTTGATGCTGCAAGGCAGAAAGTCTAGTCCTAACCATTGCCACAAGCTTTTCCTAATGTCTCCTCAGCAGTTGTCAAAATGCAACGAATAGCCTGCAAATTCTAAAGAAAATTTTACTTTTAGGTAATTTGAACAAGAAATCTCATTTTCTCCATTTACATAAAAAAGGAAAAGAGGGAAAAAAAGTGGAAAAACGCGGGTATTTCCAAATTACCTGGTCATTAGACAAGAGGAAGGAAAATTGACAAATCTTGACAATTTCACAATAGGAATCAGGAAATATTCCTTTAAAAGACCTCTGTGGTTGCTGGGCCAGAAAACAAGGGTTTTGCTCCAGGGAGGAAATGGAATACCATAGATTCTGTGGAATGTCTACTTAGAAAAAAAAAAACAAGCTTTTATGTGGCCTGGTTATTCTAGAGCTAAAAATTAAATAAAAGTAGGTAAGCTGCCAATTTAGCCAACGTTTAGTAGGATTTATAAGAGGCGTAGCTGTTTTGAACTGGGACAGCATCTTTGTATGAAATGTGTTCCAAATAAACTTGGTTTACCATCCCTATGTTTTGTGTGAGGCAGCCATAGATGGTAGCAAAAAATCAATTCTTTGCTACCATCTAGTGCTCATTCTGAATTTTTTTGCAGCTCAAATCAGGTAATCCCAGTTTTAGAGGCCACATACAGTAATATTACTTAATGGATCAGATGCTAATGATGGCTGATAATTTCCAGTTATGCTGCTCATCCTCATGCTGATGTTGGCATGAAATAACAATATAATCTTCGACCATAAAGCCTGTAATTGCTCAGCAGTTATGTATCTTTATTGCTACATAATACATTATAAAGCAGGGGTTGATAAATTTCAATGGCTGTGATTTTATTAAATTTTATAAGTTTTATAAAATATGTCCATTTTGCATATGAAATCCTCGTGTGTGTGTGTATGTGTGTGTGTGTGTGTTTGCCTAAACAAAAGAATTAACTGAATTCTGAAACTAGAAATGAACAGGGTTAAAAAAAAAAATAATTGAAAATTATGGTAACTGAGGAGAATCTAGCATACACTGTTCACTAAAACATATTTTGATATTAAAGTAGGCTTGCCCAATACTCACATTTTGTATTCATAGCTGACCAAATACTAAACGTTACTCTTTAAGTTTAGAGAATTTATTTCAACAAATTATATTAGCTGTCCTTGTCTTCCTGAAAGCTGGCTTGTTTATTAATTTGCTTTATATCCTGCTTCCAGGCAAATTTCTGTTCCACTGTAGTATTTGTCCTTACATAATGGCTAAGAATGTAGGTCCCAAGAAGCTCTCTGACCAGTTCAAGCTCACGGCAGTCTTGCATCAGAGGATCCATTGAACTACTCTGTTCATTGAAATCCATCAGAGTGTGTTCAGATCCACCGAATACAAGAATCTGAGTTTAAAAGGAAAGGACTGTACATTCGGCTCAAAATTGACCATCAGCTAGATTGTGTACATAAGCAAAATTTTCCAAAACTGTTATGTTTAACTCGTGTTTTAAATTTCCTTCTAAATTTACTATCCTGCTTTGGCTTCTTTCTCAGGTCCAGGAGAAACTAAAGCGATTTCTCGTGAACTTCTATAACAAAAGCATGACTTCATGCCTGCATGCTTACAAATGAGCTTTAGACTCCTGAACGGGGCTGAACAAAGACAACTTATTTTAAGTAACTAATCGAATGGGAGCCCTGAATAGCTTTCACAGCTTTTGTTCTTGAGCTCTGCAATGGAACAATGTTTTGTCCCTGCTCCAAGACAACTAGGGGAAACTAGCAGCTATAAAAGTGAGCTCTATCCAAAACTCAGCCAAAATCCAGCAACAAAATTACTAGGGAGGACTAAAATGCAAATTACTATACTCAAGTCCTCATTGGGGACACAGAGATCAATGGGCTTAAAAGATAAAGCACAGAACAGAGAAACTTAAAAACCACCTTTGGTAAAATAAGACATAAAAGGATCATCAATACAGCATAGGGAATTAATGTCAGTGATGGAGGGGAAATAGTCATGACACATCTGCAACAGGGATAGCGCGATCAGTGGCCATCTTATCTTTTGCTGGTGTTTTTAAACTCCAAATACCCCTAACAGCATGAGGCTGGCCAGTAAATGGTAGGAACTATCATCTAAAACTGTAGAAGCAGCCATCAAATGGCACATAAAATAAATGAAATATGCATCGAGTATGTAAACTCGCCAGAGAAAATGTGATCCGTGCTATAGCTACCGCTACAAAAGGCAATAATTTTATGGTTGTACAATGCAACAGTTAGGTAAGTTCTCCAAGACATATACGAATTGTTCAGTTCCTTTCAGCATATAACTAAGGCCAGCAACAGAATGCTTCATTTCTTCATAAAGATTTAATAACTGCCTAACACCATGAGGCCATTTAATACAGAAATGTTTTGGATCGAATAGGACGAGACATGAACACAAGCTAATTCCCAGTGAAAGCAAGCTGCACTGGGTGGTAAATTGCGAATTTTTATGCAATGGATTCAGGCAATCTGAAAGACATGCAAAAGGCCACCATTAAAGGAAATGCTCGGCCATTTGACTCCTTGATTATAAGCTACTTTCCATGATGAATATCCTACCCTGGGCAGGACTTCATTGATAACTGGAAGTTGGCTCTATCACTGTATATTGAGATGGTTAATGATTGACTACATTGAAAACAAGCATTAGTATTAGTCATCTTCTTTTATGAAATACCATCCCTAAAAGGCCCAGTTATTCTACTTCATATCAGCACTGCATAAATATATGGTTTATTTTTCAGGACTTTAGATTCTCTGGCAATGTTAAATAGGCCATGTTTTTAGGAGCTGTTTTAATATCTCCTAATCGTTTTATAGATTGAGTTATTTTTTAATTGTAATGATTATGATTATATTTTAGCATGCTTTATATGCATTTTGCCTGTGAACCATCGCTATATGTAACTAATAATTTTAGAATAGAATAAAACGGCCTGGAATATGGACTGTCCTTCTTCCCAGTCAGCATGACATTGACCATACTGGCTGAAATAATGAGCGGATCAACCAAACACATCTGGAGGGCAACAAGTCATAGAAAGCAATCTGAGCTGTCATTCCCCATGAGCTGCGTCTGTTCAATTTTCCACTGAGATAAGTTAGATTGCTCAGGAACCAATTCATTTCCTCCATGAAATGTTCCCAAAATGGTTTTCTGTTCGGCAGAAAAGAAGAAGGAGACTGAAAATGAACAAGATGGACCACTTACACAGGCACATAAAAAAAAGGGCACTGTCATGGGCGCCGCCTTTGAAAGGCAGAGGGTCAGGAAAAGCGGCAAAGTGTCCCAACATTTTCATCAGCTATAGCTTCAGACAAGTTGTTTGTCAAAATCCTAGTGGATATAGCATGTCTTTAATACTAACGGACAATACCCCTGGGTCATTTAATGTGGCTGCCAGATAGTTGACATCATGTGTTGTTTTGTAATTAATTTCTAGATCAGTGTTTCTCAACCTGACAATTTTAAAGGCATGTGCGACTCAACTCCAAGAATTCCACAGCAGCAATGCTGGCTGGTGGAAGTCTGGGAGTTGAAGTCCACATGCCTTAAAATTGTCAAGGTTGAGAAACACTGTTCTAGATTATATCATTATATACACCTGCTCACAAATGAGATGTGACGATGCTGTATTCAGACATCAGAAAGGCAGTTGGTGAACTAGTTTTAGAGATGTCTATCCAACCATTTCTACAACAATATATGCAATTTATCAAGCAAGCAGTTTTTTAAAAAGTCTTCTATAAGAAACCACATTGCTACTTAATACTAAGTTATAGAGTACGAGGAGGCACAATTTTTTTTTTAAAAAAAGGGGAAGAAGCAGTCAAAAACTACAGTGTTTGATGCAAAGTTATTATTATTGAAGTTTAATAGAACAGAGTCTGTTTGGGTAGATGAGATAGACAGCTTGGTACATTAAGCTAAAAGAAAGTTTATATACCATTTTAAAAGGGCTTTTTTTCTCCCTGCTGAAAACTGGTTGGAAAATGTGCCTTTATTACTTGGCTATCACTATCAGAGGTTCAGTTCCCTATTTCCTAAAAGCTGTATGAGCCACATTTTGGTACAAGGCATGTGGGTGGTCCACTTCTGTTTTTCAAGATCAATTGTATTTATTTCACCTCTTCATTTGATCAGCATGCATGAGCCCATACCTTCCTGAAAGCCTGTCATGCAAGCATCCAAACAGATAGTCTTTTGTTTTGTGGTTGGAAAGTAAAAGGAAAGATAGCTTGGTGTTCCAAAAGACTTTTCCCATAGGAGAAGGGTGGGGCAGATACTGAGTTGGCAGAGAAAAGAAGACTTAAGAAAATAAGTCTGCTGGAAAAAGGAACTTGTAGAATTGGAAGAGGGCCGGCAACCTAAGGAGGTAGTTTGTTGGTTGTTGAGAAGAGTCAATCCAAAGAGGACATGGTGCTGTGAGTTCTTTTCTACTCTCTGCAGGGGCTGAAGTAATGGAAGATGTGAATCTATATCAACCAGAGAGAAAGCTTATGCCAGCCTAAAAGGGTATGTTGGCCAGTACATTTAGCATCTTACTTTTTTTCTAAATAAAAAGTAGAAAGAGTATTTATAAATAGTGCCGTGTATATGTGTGGGTACATATTTGTTAAACCAATACTATAGAAAGCATAAATACAGACTGCACTTAGGCTGCATAATATTTAGTACAGTAAAGGAAAAGGCCCATTTTACAATGTATTTTAAATCTTGAACCATGATGGCTATAAGCCAGGCAGAGAACGGAATGTAGTTACCAAGTTGTAAATAACTCTTGCAAAGAAACGTTATAAATACCAAGGTTAATGTTGCTTTCTGTCTTAATGAAAGGAGGGGAAATCATGAGCTTTGCATTATGTCAAATCCTATGAACCCACAGCAGTTCTCAAGACAATCAAATTGATCCACAGAGACTAAATGAGAGTCTCTTATTTATCTTCTCTAATGGTGGCTTTCTCTCTCTTAAGAGCTATGGCTTTTTGCAAGTTAAAGAGGCTTATAAAAATATGAGAATCTATACCTGATACATCATAGTATATCCAATTCTAAAAAGCAGTCTTCACGATCAGATTATATATGCTTGTATTTTCTTTGTTGTGGGAATCTGTAGATCTTTCCTTTTTGCCACTTTTGTACCTAATATATCGCACATTGATTCCTTTTTTCAAGTACTACCTTCCCACTCAACAATAGAAAATAGAACACACTTGCAGTTAATATTGAACAAACTTCTATTTTACTTTTAGATAAAGAAACTATGCAGGGCCATAACGATTCTGAAAGAATTTAAGAAATCACAGGGGAAGAAGCTGGTCATCTGACTGAATGATGTTGATGCTGCCAAGTTCTTTCCACCTGCAGACCAACACACAACAGACAGTGTGTTACTAACAGAAACAGAATGCTACCAGAGTGTGAATCACTAGGGCAAGATTATTTCTGTTCAGATAAGATGACAGCTGTAACTAAACTAGGTTCAATACCAGTTTGCCAGACTAGAGAAGAACTATCTATGTACAGTGCCTCTATCTTTGGTTTAGCACCTTGACAGCCTCACTTGATATTTCCTGATTTTATTTCTAGGCTAGAATGGGAATCTTGCACTTTCTTCCTTCATCTTTTCCAGTACAAAGCTTCAGTTATAGAAGAAACAGAGAAGTCCCCACCACACCTCAAATCTTCTCGAGTAGCCTCTTTAGTTACTAACTAAAAAGGATATAGTAGAACAGTTTGGGAGGATATCGATATGATTTACAGAGTTCTTCAATGGGCTGTCATCCTTTCCCTCCATAATTTAAGCACCTTGTGTGAAAAGGCAAGATTTCAATGGACGAAGACACAAAACTGATTTCACAAAGGCCTAGCAGAACTTATAACAAGATTTTAAATGTGAAAATGGTAATTGCATCAAAAGATTTGTGTATTTATTGACTACTATCTAGCAAGATGCTAGCAAAAAGTCTTTTTCAGAAGCATTATAAAAAGCATCAATTTAAACTAAGTCATCATAAATCAATCAATGCTTATCCTTTCTTCAGATCCAAAATCCAAAACATTCTGATAATTTATATTAATAAGTTAGTGAATTGTATTAGAAAAATAGCCTGAGGCTGGAGTCTATTAAAATCAAACATAAGCTATATATAAGAGGTGCCTCTTTGTTTATAGATAAATCTCATGCAAGCCAACATCCATAGATAATGTCAGTAAACAAGATTTGAACATTTAATGGAATTTATGGATGCTGGAAATGTTCACCAAGCTTAGGCAATCTCCTGTTACTTAGGAAAGTAGCAAGGATTAGATTAAAGATTTGTGGAAGTACCTGCTGCAGGTAAGGATAGGCTCAAATCTACACTGATGTTCAAGAATTTCAATCCTTTATGTACAAAGCCCAGTGTTTTCTGAGTCAAGCTTCACTCCTAATCATCAACTGAATTCAACTATATACAGTAGTGTTCTCTAACCCCGCAGATGTAAAAGAAACCTACCACAAAAGGTGCAATTCTGCCAACTAGAGAATTGTCACAAGACTGGGGGCTTCTCACATTCTGTTTTTCTTCCTTTGGTTCCACTTCTTTTCTGAGAAACACCTATAGGAAAAATTAGCATGATGATTATGCCCCAATTATGAAATATCACTGGAGAATAATCAAGTAGCTAGACACTGAGCTGCCAAGATGGCAATGGCAAAATGCAGACTTTTCAATTTTACTGTGTTTTAACAAATCCTTGTCCTGATTATGCTTTAAGATGAGCATTGCATCCCCATGACTGTCAATGAGACATGCCTTTTAACAAGGGTTCTCCCATTAACTGTTGCTATGTTGCAAGCCCACAGGTAGTCATGAGAAGATGAAATATACATTGTCCAAGTTTTTCTTTTACTCATTTTCATAAGAAATAATCAATAAAAAGTTTTTTTTCCAATTACCGATTTTTTAAAAATACACATATGTACAGAGCTGAATTAAATAGTAATTTAAAGGTAAGCCCACCATTCAAAAATGCACTATAGTAGTGTTTCTCAACCTTGACAATTTTAAGGCATGTGGACTTCAACTCCCAGAATTCCACAGCCAGCAATGCTGGCTGTGGAATTCTGGGAGTTGAAGTTCACATGCCTTAAAATTGTCAAGGTTGAGAAACACTGCACTATAGCATCCTTCTTGTTGACATTATTAGGTACCATGATTGAGAGGAACTCAATATTTATTATTATTTGTTAAATTAATTTTCCACCTATCTTAACGTGGCAGATTACAACAATAAAAATGGAGAAATGAAACACAACAGTAGTAAAGTAGTGGAACAATAAACAATAAAAAAGAAAGCAATGATACTGCGATATGGGAATAAAAGATGGGCGGGTGGAGAAGTAGGGAGGAAAGAGGGAGGGGGGGTTGTGGTCAGTCTAATAGCCACTTCAGTGTGGTACTCCCCATTTGGGTCCCCAGGCCAACCAGCAGAACCAGGTCTTCAGACTCTTATGGAAGGATAGGAGGGTGGAGGCAGATCTCACCTTGGAGGGTAGGATGTTCCAAAGGGTGGCTGCCACAGCAGAGAAGGCTCTATCTTTTGGATAATCAATGTTCTTTGACTGACAGGACCTGCAGTAGGCCCTCTCTACCAGCATAAGTGGGGCATGCTTGTCTTAGTCTATTCATCAGGTAGCCTTGACGTACGCCATTAAGGCCTTTAAAGGTCATAACCCTTGAACTGCATCTGGAAGCAGATCAGTAGCCAGTGCTGTATTGCAGAGGTGCAATACAGACCGTTCTAGGGGCCCCAAAGACTGCTCTCGCTGCTGCACTTTGAACCAAATGAAGCTTCCAAATGGATTTCAGGGGTAGTCCCATGTATAGTTCATGAGCCGTGGTGGCGCAATGGTTAGAATGCAGTACTGTAGGCTAATTGTGCTAACTGTCGGCTGCCAGAAGTTTGGCAGTTTGAGTCTCACTGGCTCAAGGTTGACTCAGCCTTCCATCCTTCCGAGGTCAGTAAAATGAGGACCCAGATTGTCAAGGGCAATATGCTGACCCTTAAACCAGTTGGAGAGGGCTGTAAAGCACTGGGAAGCAGTATATAAGTCTAAGTGCTAGTGCTATTGGACTTAAGAGATGACTAGGGCTTGAGTAACTGATCACAGGGAATCAAGACCCAGAAAAGGTTGTAACTGGTGCACAAACTGAAGCTGTGCAAAGGTTCTCCTATATGCTATACTGTATCATTATATTATATATAACCCTAATGATACTTGCTAACAAGCAGAAAATAATTCCAATCTAAAATTTTATGACACCCAACACTACTTATGCTAGACATTTTTCAAGGTTGCCTGAATTAACAAATGAATCTGAACATAGTTCTTATTTTTACACAAAGACTTAGCATGTGGATATGGAAAAAGAAGAATCAACAAATCAGACACAATAATCAATGGTCAAAGGTAGCCAGGATAAATTAGAACACTAGTATCTTCAAACATTTTATTCTCTGCAACATCTATCTATCTTGTATTAACAGTGAAGATATAAAGGACCTTCATAATACTCATGTGAACAGCAAATCTATTAAAGTAATGGTGACTTAATGCTAGATGAAGCATTACATTATATACTCTTTATCCTGACAAGACCGAGTGGCTCTGGATGTTGCCTCCCAAGGATCATGTTGACTGTCCAGTGTTGACTCTTGCGGGAAAATATACCCCCTTTGGAGCGGGTTCACAACTTGGGTGTCCTCCTTGATCCACAGCTGAATTTGGAACATCATTTGACGGCTGTGGCTGGGAAGATCTTTGCACAAGTACATCTGTTGCGACCCTACCTGGACCGGGAGGCTCTCCTTACAGTCACTCATGCCCTTTTCACCTCACGTCTGGACTACTGCAATGCGCTCTACATGGGGCTACCCTTGAAAAGTATTCGGAGACTACAGTTGGTCCAGAATGCAGCCGCGCGAGTGATAGTGGGTGCTCCTCGATACACCCACATTACACCTATCCTCCGTGAGCTGCACTGGTTGCCTATTGGTCTCCGGGTCCAATTCAAGGTGTTGGTTATTACCTTTAAAGCCCTATATGGCTCAGGGCCAGGCTATTTGCGAGACCGTCTACTACCTCATAGTTCCCTTCGTCCGGTTAGATCCCACAGGCTGGGTCTCCTTCAGGTCCCGTCGACCAAGCAGTGCCATTTGGCGGGGCCGCGGAGGAGGGCTTTTTCTGTGATGGCGCCCACGTTTTGGAACCAGCTCCCTCCGGAGATTAGGACCGCTCCCACCCTGTTGGTTTTCCGTAAGCTCCTTAAGACCTGGCTTTTCCGGCAGGCCTGGGGTTTATGAAATCTGACCCCTGGATGACTGTTCTTGTACTGTTTGTTTTGTTATGTTTTATGTGTTTTTTATTGTTAGCAGCCCAGAGTCCTCCGGGAGTGGGGCGGCTTATAAATTTTAAAAATAAAATAAATAAATAAATCTGTGGGAAAACAATAACTCCTTATTCCACAAGTATGTATTCTAAACATTGGAAACTTGTTGCCTTCCTGTTATTGCCAAATTCCTATAAGCTCCACTTAGCATATCTAATACTGAAATATCCTGTGGTCATCCACTACTATCTGGAGAGTCACAAGTCTTCTACCCTGTACCTATAATCTTTTTCATACACTTGCTCAACACTTTAAAAAACTTGGATTCCATTAAATTCCAAATGAACTCATATATAAATAGGACATTCATAAAAATAGAAGATAGAATTAGAGCTATATATGTATGTATATATGTTATGTATATAAAATTTATGCTTAACAACTTTCAGGTCCAACTGCAATTTAATAGAAGCTAGGAATTAGAACAAAAAATATTTAAACCTTATGCTTAACAGTTCTTACATGAAGCTACATTTTAATATTCAAATGTTTAGATATATTTTTGTATTGTTTATTACTATTTTTTCTGAAAATGTAACATTTTTAAAATTTTAAAATTTTTATATAAAACTTTTTTATATTAGGGTCTATCTATAACCTGAGGGTCACAGTTTTCAATATTTCTCTGCTGCCATCTAGGGGCATCTGGATTTTTGCAAACTACAGTTGGTAGCTCTACCTAAATAAACATTTGCTTTGTTAATAACTTTTGGGTTTTCAACCTAAGCAAATTTGTCTTATATTTATGTAGTGTAAAATAAATTGCTTTGGTCCTTAAATACTTTTCTCCCTGTGTTGATTAGGTAAACTAAAGTTCCATAGACACTTGGAGAGTGGTGGTGCAAGTAACAACATCATGCATCATGATGCAACTGGTATAAATTAAATAATTGCACTGTTTACACAATGGCATACTAATGTACATGTTTATATGACTTTGACATCATTGCAATTTCTAAAGACACTCATGAGATTGTCTTGAAAGTCTTGGTCCTAAAGTCTGATGATTTCTAATGAACTTCATGAGTTTGGTGCTCAATTTAACTTTACAAATGGTAGCCAACCTCTTTGATGATTACAAGTTATTTAAATATATGAACCACTGTTCCAATTTTCCTCTGAAAGAGTTTGATGCTGGAGTACATCTCTGGGATCTCAGAAAATGGAAAACAGAAAACCCTCTCACAAGACCGTATAACTCTTAAATACATAAATACTAACTATTCCATCATCTGAAAAATAATTTGGAAGAAATGCCTCAGACTAATTGGAAGCATGAGCACATATCTCTTCCATGGAAGCCTGAAAAAGTATGTTGCTGTTTCAGGAATCACGTCAAAGTTACAATGGTTAATTATAGGATTCATCGGCTGCACTAGAGCTTCTTTTTTCAGAATTGCTCAAGACGTCTGAAAACAACAGCTTGGGTGAGGTCCACAGCATTTTCCTAAATCACTTTTGAAAGGTGCATCTCTTCCATTTCAATTCTTATTGAAATAGGAATAATCTATCCTGGGACTGAAGTTCAAGAAGGCGTGTGCAGTAAAGGGAAAGCCTGTATTGTCTGCATAAGATACAAAAGATCTAGAACACTTTAACAGTGTTTCTCAACCTTGACAATTTTAAGGCATGTGGACTTCAACTCCCAGAATTCCACAGCCAGCATTGCTGGCTGTGGAATTCTGGGAGTTGAAGTCCACATGCCTTAAAATTGTCAAGGTTGAGAAACACTGCGTTTAGCATGTAAATGATGGACAAGACAATCCTTTATTTCTATTGTTTACGGATTGGTTATTTTTTTTTGCAAACATCTAATAGCTATTAATTCTATATGTATGATTTGGGGTAATCAGAAATGTTCAATCAAAGCGGTCAATATCTGTCTATTTCCCCCAGCTGGGACTGCTTGGCCTCTCCCCGACCAGAGCTGGGGGAGATAAGCTTGCAGGTGACATAAGCACTTTATTTACATGTGAAGCTCCCTCAATCCATCAGCTGCAGGCCAACAAGGCTGTCAGCATAAAGATGATTTCATCCTTCCTGCAGTTCTGCTCCACTTGGATTGCAGAGGTAGGGCTCCCTCCCCCCACCATCTGATCCCATCCAACAAGCAGCAGCAGCAGCCGGGAGCACATGTGAAAACAAGAACCGAGTCAATCTTTCTTTAAATTTGGAATGTGGAGGCTGCAACTGAGGAATGAACTGGCAAGAAGAATCTTCCCCAGCTGGTAACAGTACAACTGGGAGTAAATCAATCTTCCCGTAGGAAGCACTAATCCTGTATTTTATAAGGCTCAATGCCGGAGAAACACATAAGGGCTTTCAGAAGGATTCTTGGCCAAGAGTTCAAGTTCAGTTTGGGCAATACTGTCCTTGGGGTTGACGAGATAACACCGTTAGTAATGCCTGCAGGGAAACTTTTTTTTTTTAAAAAAAATAAATCTCGTCTTCGTTATTAAAACCAAAACAGAATGACATGGCCTCAACTCATCCCATTGGAACATGTTTCATAATTTCACAGAACTGACCTCACATGCTACCACATAGCTGGCTTCAATGTTATTTTTTCTCCATGAATACTTACAGTTCATTTAGGAAAGTGGCTATAAAGCAACTGAAGTGTTAAACTCATGTGATCCTAGGCATCTTTCTGACAAGACATGTTGCCGAACAGTACACCTTTTCTCAGATTTCCAAATGTCTCTCTCATAATCCTTTCTCTGAATAAAAATCAACACAATCTTGTAGAAACAAAAAAAGGCTACTCTAGCACAGACCACTGTTTATATTCAAATCCTAATACCATTACAACACAACAAGCTATTTCTAAGCCTTTCCTGACATTACTTGGCATGATACCTTCTTATAATACATACAGAGAATTGACATAACCTTGTGTTTAAAAAAATGCTGGAAGATGGAAATTTAAATGCTTACTAATAGTCTGAGTAACTTTTTCTAGACTTGTTCCACCATGTTCAGAGGTAATATAGTCTCATTACACCATCCACAAATTATCTCCACAACAAAACATACACAAAAAGAGAATAAGCAAACATATGAGATAAGACATGGAATAAATAAATGGAACTAGAAAAAATAATAAAATGGAACCAGAAATCTCAAGGTCCTACTATTAGTTTTCAGAGGAGTTCTATGGAAAGATAATTATGTTAAAAGTAGGGTACCATGTCTAGCTCAGATAAAAGCTATCAAAGGGCAAAATCTTTAAATAAATAGTGACTAGAAATCAGGTAGAACTTAAGCGCACATATGTCTTACCCCTGTAGGAAAAAAGCATTATTCTTTGTTCATGTTTGATTATATCAGGCAATGGGAAGTAATAAATTTTACCCCCATGTGATCAAGTTCTCCAGAAAATTGTCTTCCTCAGCAGATACACTGGGAGAATCCTGAACTTCAGATCTCCATCACCCTTAATTTTGCTACTCAGGATGCCTTTTCACACAACGGCTTGCACAAGATCCTAAAGCCAGGTGTAATCGGCATTGTAGAGAGATTTGAAGTGCAGAGCGCAGAACACAGCAAAAACAGGAGGTGAGAAATGAAAGACTTACCTTGAATTGTGCTTTTCCTGCCTTGCAGTTGTTGTTGTTGTAGTTTTTCTCTGCACTGGTGTGGGAATGGTCTCTGAATATCCCTTCTTCCCCTAAGCCATCTTTTCCATGCCAATTGGACAAAGTAATCTTCTTAATGGAACGGGACAGCGAATTGCTATTGATACAATCATCATTGGCAATCACCTCTTCAATAGGACTAGCGCTTTTAAATCTTCCTTCAGCAGGCTCCAGAGACGTCTGAGCCAGATACAGGGAAACACACTCATTGAGGTTTTGGTGCAAGTCATGGTTATTCAGAGCAGCAAGAGGAATGTCAGTACAGCTGTCTCTTGGAAATTCCAGGGCACACTTGGGTAGAGATAATTTGGTACTAATAGTGAACGGTTGGACCTTCCTTGCTGTGCTACCGGACATTGTCTCCCTAGCGCAAGCCTTACAGGGGCCCTAGAAAAATGCTAGGACACAAATCTTGATAAACCCCCACTGCTTTTCTTAGGAGAGAAAGGGCCTCTTGTAGGAGGTCATAGAAAGAAAGGTAAAATCAGAAGTGACAAGATTTGCCTTGGCTTCTTCCATCCCATGCAAAAAAAAAAACCCTTCAGAGGTGGAAAATATGTCCCATTGGATCCGTTCTGCTCTTTTCCTCGGGCATCCACATTTGTGAGCGCCCTCACAAGTGAAGCTTCTCCTGAAATGTTCAAAGAGGACTTCCAAGCCTTCTTTGGTTTTCTAGCAGGAGTTACACAGCTGCCACCAAGCCAGGTCTCTCTGGACAGTGGTAGTAGCTCTGCGAGGAAGTCACTCATCGATCCGTTTTGCCGGAAAACAAAGGCGGAGAGAGCAGAATTGAGGGAGGGAACTTGGTCTTGGCTTACTGAGCAAAGAGAAGAAGAGAAGAAAAAAAAAATATTTAGAGAGCCTGGAAGTTGGGAGGAATGGTTTGGGGGTGGATCTTAAGAAATGAGATCAAAAATTTAATCTTCCCCTTGAGAGGAATACGGTTGGTAAATACTTCTTGAGCTTCCCTTCTCTCTTGGCTGGAAGAGCGCCCTCTTTCCCACGAGAAGCTAAACGTCGCTTCTGATGGGGAAAACGGGCGCTTGGAGGAGACGTCTGTTCTCCCTCCGAACGAGGCTCCCGGACAGGTGGGGTGCCGGGATTACCACTTCAGAGTCCCGACATTTGGGGAGAGGGTGCCCCTCCTTCCCTCCCTCCCTTCCTCCGGGGAGTTCTTTTCAGTCGTCCACCTTCGTGCGCAGGTTGAGGAGGCAGAGCAGGCAGGTGAGGATGGCCTCGCGGGACTGCTGAGAAGTCAGGCGGGCCCTCAGGCGCCGGAGCAGCGGCAGGAGGCGCTTGCGAGCCAGCAGCAACAGGCGAGTCAGAAGGGTGCGCAGAAGCAGGAGGGCGAGCAGCGGGGCGGGCATGCTGCGCTCAGGGCGCGGGCCTGGGATCTGCGGGTGGGGAGGAGGGTGGAGGGGTGGGGAGGAAGGCACAGATAGATGCACCGAGGTCAGAAAGGAGCTGAGGGAAAGGGGCGCCTCCTGAATCAGCGCCCACGTTCCTGGGGAGGGCGCGGAAGGAAAGGAGGAGCGCTCCCCTCGTGAAAAGGCCTCCCTTCCCTCCCTAGCCCAAGTCTTAACTCTCTCTTCCACTCGCTATATTTAGCCCGGTTCTTCAGACAGGGAGTTCTTTAGCATGAGGTAATGTGGCTTGGACTCGGGGGAGAAGACGGCTTCCAAAAAACCTACGGGCTACTTCCACCCTCTCCCGGGGAGACGGGGAAATTGGCTTTGTCCGCTCGGGGACTTGCTACCACCTACTGGAGTTGGGAGTTGTTGGAAGAAGAAAACGGGTCACCGTGACGAAATCGGGCCAAGGCGAGAAAGGGGGTGAACAGGCGCATCTGACACCGCGGGCGAGCGAATGCTTGGCGGCGACAGCAGCTGGCATTAACAGCTGCGCGCAATTCAACAGGTGAAGCGCTCTTCTCCACATTTGTCCCTTGCCGAAAAAGCGCCCCCCCCCTGCAGCATTCTCAGCTGTCCGTGGGCCGGGATCCAAAACGCCGGAGCCGCCCCCCACCCCCCAGAGCGGGCGCAAATTTGCATGCCAGGCGGTGGTTTCATTAGAAAGCGCCAGAGGGAGGCACCTGCAGCCCAGACGAGGAGAAGCGAGGCAGCAACCTTTTGCAACTCGCGGGCTGCAAAACTTGTAGGGGGGGGGGGCCGTTTCAAAACGGGGAGGAGAAAAAAGACTGGCGGGAATTAAGGCTGCACCAGTAGCCTCGCTTGCAGCTCGCTGCCGCAGGACGCAGTGGCGAGAGCAAGGCTACAAAAGCAAGACTTGTGAGCGAGCGGAGAAGAGGCGATTTCGCTTACATGCTGGCTCCTGCCGCTAAGCGCGCGGGCCGTTTTATTTCTGGGAAGGGAATTTGCGGGTGGGAGGAGGGCCGGGTGGAACCTTCTGCCTAGTGCCCGGGGTTGTCACAGCAACAGAGCGCGTCGGAGGCGATGATGCAATTGAATTCCACAAGGATAGGCTCAAAGCGCGGGGACTCGGAGAGGAAAGTTCTCTGGGCGCTATGGCAACGGACAATACTGACTTTTAATCTCGGGAAGGCACCGGCGAAGCCCCAGCGCTCTACGGCCAAGGGTTGGAAATCCGAGCTGGGTCTCTATGGGTTAAAGCTGCATTAAATCCTCGCAATTCACGAAATAAATCCTCCGATCTCCGTTTGTCTCTCTCTCGTTTGGCCCTGTTGTGTTACGGAGCACCAGAAATCTCGGTTCTTGAATTAGCTTCCCGGACTGTTCCATGATTAGAATATACTTATGGCCGAGTCTCTCGACCAGAAACTCTTAGAGCAGGGGTCTGCAACCTTGAGAACTTTAAGACTTGTGGACTTCAGCTCCCAGAATTCCTCAGCCAGCTGGCTGAGGAATTCTGGGAGCTGAAGTCCACAAGTCTTAAAGTTCTCAAGGGTGCAGACCCCTGCCTTAGAGGGACTTCACACGTTTGAAGCGCTTTGAAGGACCGTGTAGGTGTCGCGGGAGACGAATATAAGAGATGCGCCCCTGGGCTGTTCTACCACACTCTGCTCTTAGCGTTAAATTGTATTTGTGATTGCCCGCAAGTGTCAAACATGTATGCCCATTGTCTTCCTAACATTAAGCCAATGAAGGACATATAGGAACCTAATCAAGTTTGTACTTAGGCATTGTTTCAAAGGCTGAACACAGAATCCGAGGCTAACAAGATCCAACTCCCCCTCCCCCATGCACTGCTGTGTGCACATTCCACTTAATGCCCAAATTGATAGTTTAATGAAAGAGGTAGGGATAGCAATTACATACCTGGGTAGTAAACAGCATTTGGCTGCACCATATGTACTCCTAGCAAAAAAAACAAAAACAAAAACAAAACATCAGCCTATGAGTTATTCACAGATTACACTGTTAAGTTCATTCAGGCATGCAGGATCTGCATTTTGCATCTGACATCCTGTTTTATCACCAAATACCCTACAGTACGTATGTACATAAAACAAACTTTTAGACTGTGGTAGCGGTGAGAATTATTTAAACATTCACAGATACAAAATGTTACGTCAAACTGAGGCTGTCTCCCACACTATGGCCAATGAGCTTGATATACAGAAGAAGAACCATTTAATAACATTCCTGCTTCCCCTTGCATATTCCATACAGTATATGATATCATCTGTAGTCAAGCTGCCTGCCTACTCCAGTGCTTAAGTTGCCTGCAGATAGGAAGATCCTGCTGCATTAACACAGAAGAATTAAAGAAACCAGTCTCCCAAGGTGTTTATTTTATTATTTTGTGCTAAGGGTGGGTTTCATTACAGCTGCCACTTGATCTGCAGCAATTTTACTCCAGTTGCCCATAGAAGATGAGATTAGATGGGCATTAATTACTGGGTCCTTGAGGTGCTTTTCCCTCATTTTTCACCCCCTTCTTTGAAGAACAGCATTTGAATTTGGAATAGCCAGTTAAGCACATGATGTTGAGAAGAAAAGGAAGCATACAATGTCTTTGTATTCACAGCACTACTAGAATGGATCTAGTTTATGCACATATTTTCTCACAGCACGCTTCTGTTCAGAGGCAAACATCAGGCATGCCCTTCGGCATCAGGATCATAGATGTAATTATGTTGTACAAAAGTGCTCTCTTTTGGGGTCAAGGCCTGCAATTTAGGTTCTGTATTTGTTTGCCTAATGAGTGACCTCGAGGGATTTGTTCACATGAAACAATAAGTCTTTTCCTCTCTCTTACTTGGTTAATTAACTGTAATAATTGGGGGAGGAGGGGAATCTGTGGGACAGGATATCACATGCTGGTTGCCAGCACACTGTTTCACTTAGAGTGGAAGGGTTACCATTTTTATTTGCAATCATAAGAAATCTAGAATGCAAGATGAACATTTTCATAAAAACATCTGCCAGTACAGATGATAGAGAATGAACTAGCCAATTTTAGTGATGCTAAAGCCTGTTTTGTTATTATTAATGGAATTCTTTACAGTTGTAATTGGTGGAGTCCTTGGTGCTCCCTGAGCTTGGATATTTGTTTGTAGACATTAATTACTTGTCTAGGTAAGGAAATGCACCGATTGGATGCAGTGATGATGTTACCTAGTTGGGTAATGAAACGTCCACAGGCAATAACTATGCTCAGATAGCACCAAGGACCTCACAATTCAACCTTTGTTACTGGAATTATAACTTGGTGTGAGGGTATGTGTGTGTATATGTGCATTTGTATATATATATATACACACACACACACAATTTCTGCTAACTTGTTGGGATTATTCATTGCTAGCAGAAGCAAAAGTTTCACAAACTTTTTCAAACACCACCAGTCCAAAAATAGAGTCATTTTAGCTATAGGATCTAAGGTTTAAATGTCATATCTAAGAATACACTTTTTAAAAAACTACAACAATCTCTCAGATCATCTCCATGTATATATTTTGTGAACATTTTTAATGAGGTTTTCTTTGAATGAATAACTTTTTAGTATAGGGACTCTGGAATTAGAAGTTGTTTTTCAATAATTTATAGTCAATAATTTAGACATCAGCATCAATTATCTTTTTTATAAAGAACATTTTGAAATTAAATATGATTAACACTACCTTTGTAATCTATAAGTGCAGTTTAAGAAGCGACCAATCAATAGACTGCTTATTTTATTGACTCTTCAAACTGCAATTTGTATACAACAATATTATTTTAAATTATTTTATACTAGTTGACATGTTAAGTATTTTTTCATTCTTATTTCCTTTATTCTATATCAAAAATACTCTTTAACACAGCAGAAACAATTTTAGATGCATATTACTTTAGAAATGGAAAGTTAAAAGAAGGCAGATAAATGATATATCTTCCTTACCCTTCACTCAAAATCTTTTTCTCCAAGGACCCGCATATTCATATTATTTTTATCATTTATGTATGTCTGGAATTACATGGAGCTTTAAGATTCTGTTTAAAAATTAATTGTCACAATTGGTCACAATTCTTTCTTCATTCATGATGACATAGCTCTGTCTCAGTGTAAAAATCAGGCACTTAAAAAGGTCCACTGCAACAAATAGAAAGTTAATATTAAACAAGTTAAATCTCATTGAATTGCACGCTTTACCTTGCATTTAACCCTTTATATACAAGCTGATCTTAAAAACCAGAGTAAAAAGCTACTTCAATTTTCAACTGGCTGAGTCAATAAACACTGCAGAGGCATGTGATTAATTTTTCCCCTATTACTATATTTTTCATAGTTGCTTATAATAGGAAATTCAGATCCTTTGGGGGATGTCTACAAGCAATCCTTCCATAGAACTTGTCTTTGACTAATATAGTTCCCAGAAAACAGCATTTGCTGTTTGAATCTTACTGTCTTTTTTTAGATTCCTCCCTCGGTCTCCTCTTCTAGAGATGCAGAAGGGTCCTTCTCTGAACCACCATTGACAAAATCACTTGCCTGCACCATCAACAGCTACCATATGCCTTGACACTAAGGAACAATTTCTCTCTCACAAAAAAAAAAGACCACTTCTTATCAGCTGTCCTTTTAGAACTATGCTCGCACCTGGCTTTCGCTCGCCAATAGAAAGGAGTGGTGAACTGACACATGCTTGGTGTCAATGATAGTTGACAGCCTTGAAATTGTCTGTTGGGAGGGCAGTCCTAATTCTTGGAAAGTTCACAGGGTGTGAGGAAGATAAAGAATCCTTGCATCCATACTGCACAGTTACATCATCTGGTATGGGCAACATCTGTTGAAAGACATATGGAAGTCCTGCTCAGGCGCCCTTCTTAAAAATACTCTATGACTCTTTACTTTTACTAATGACCATCACTTGTTTGCCCAAGAAAATAAGTACTGTGAATATATGTTCCTTTTATAATTACAGTTGTTATTAATATAGCAAATAATTTTGTAAAAATTGCAAATGTCATAAGATAAAAGGGGAATTTCTAAAATAGGGTATAATACAGATCTTTATATATATATATATATATATATATATATATATATATATATATATATATATATTTAATGTGGTGGTCTCCCATGGAGAATGAGACACGCACGCACAGGTATCTCGGGATGGGAGCCCAGAGCTGACTCCAGCACCCTATTTTATTGTTACTAAAGTTTTTACATCACACAGTGTAAGCAAAAGACGTATATAGGGGTGGTTACAATATATCAAATAACAGACACTTTCCAGATGCAAGGCTACTGCAGGTGTTCTTATCAGAGTCTGTCCAAAAGGCTGATGAATGTATCCTGTGTCTGAAACAGTTATCTCAGGCCCTTGTGGGAGATGCCCATGGATAGATGCCCATGGACATTTGTGCAATTAGTCCCACATCTCCTGCTTTTCTGTTTTTTTCAATGTTACTCACTTCCAGTTCCAGAAGGGATCTTGATTCACTGATTAAGGCATCCTTCCTAGTGGAGGGCGTAACATTTTTGCACATTTGCAGGAGGGAGGGAATACATTGAATGCAACAACATAGCAATACAAATAATATCAAAATGGTTACTATAATAGAAATCAAAGATTGTAGACAGGATCCATCCGGTAGCCAGGACCAAAGGGCACCCCAAATATCCACGGTGCCTGATCCATCGCTGCGTAAGGGATTATTCTGGAGCATAGATTCCATTTTTCTAGCTGTAGCAGAAATATTAGGTTGAAAATCATGTATATACATACAACAATGAGAATGAATTAAGGCACATACACCGCCTTTTGCTGCTAAAATAATATCTAAAGCATACCGATTTTGCAAAACTACTTCCATTATTTCCCCCATTTCTTGATTAATCATTTTAATGCTGTTGATTGTTTCATTAAACATATGAACAGTCCAATTGTTAAGCAAATGAAGGTCTCTATAGTTCATTGCAACTCCTAGATTGGGTAGAATCCCTCTGCTGATTTGAGTCTCTAAACTACCACCCAATGTTAGGGGTGGATCCGAGGAACCAGTATCACGTTTGTTCCGCAGGCATCCATCAGGGAGATGAGGCAAGGCATATACAGCAGGAGTCAAAAGGCCCAGTGTACAGGTGCCTTTCCAATCCTTAGGCACCTGGCGATAGGCTCTACGGCCACATAGTAGCCACATATCGGGTAACTCAGAATAACCCTGGTGAGACTCATTAGCAAATGTTATTATGGATTCCATGTCAAGGCAAGCCATGTAGGTACTGATGTTTGTCCATTGATTGCTTTGATAAGTGTCATTTACCTTAGTAAGGTTGCTTTTGATGGATTTGCATCTCTTTGCTGAATTCCATATAATAACTTGTTGACAATTACTATAAGTTCCCAAATAAATGGCAGTACGGAATAGTCCTGTGCTATAAAAACAAAATCTGGCAGGTTCCATTATACGAGCGCCCACAGCATATGTCATATTCAATGTCTCTGTAGTTATGCTCCACAGCTGCTTCCATCCTGTTTCATTGAACGGAATGGCATGGAAAATAAGGCCACCACGACTGTCACCAGGAATTTGCATGCAGATCCAACAGTTCGTGACGTTAAGTGTAAGAGCAGTGCGCCTGGCATCCCGTACAAAAGCATTAAAAGGCCCACAGTCCCTGATCCTCATATGCCTGGCTGAGGTGGTATACGTTGAGCCATATAAGGACGAACACAACGAGCTGGAGTCCAATGATCTCGCCATGGTCGTCTATTGCAGCATAGCCTCGACCCCAAGTAATGAGGGAGGCAGGCCCTTTCCAGGTGGGATCAGGCAAACGTCGATAGTATACCTGGGGGCGTGAAGAATCTGTGGGAGAAGCAAAAAATGCCTGCTTGCGGCAGTTGAGCCAGGGGTGCCAGAAACATTCAAAAAGTTTAAGGTAAAAAGTACAAGATTAAGAGTGTTTTGTATCCCAGGCAAGCCGGGGGTATTTTCCCCTTTCTTTTTTGCATGCATGTCTTCTTTTGGATTGCCCAGGATAGAAAAGATACGAATACAATGATTAATAACATGTTTAGCAGACTCACCCCTTTGAGGGGTGGCCATAATAAAACCTGAATAGGTGTCAATGGAAACATGCAAGTATTTCCAAGGGGCAAATGGCAAATATTGTGTAACATCCATTTGCCAAAGTTGACAGCTCTGCGTCCCTCTTGGGTTGACCCCTTGAGGAACAGAGTGTGCTTGGAGGCTGCAGGTGGGACATTGTTGTATGATAGCCGCAGCCTCCGTAGCTGTTAAAGAAAATTGTTTCATTAAAGCCTTCTTATTTTGATGAAAATATGAATGGCTGTCCCATGGGGTTATGGGAGATAAAACAAGGACAGAAACGTCCTGGTGAGTGGAGGCAGCCGAAGCGGCAGCATCCGCCTTGGCATTGCCTTCGGAGATAATACCAGGGAAAGGTTGGTGACTTCTAATATGAGCAGGAAAAAAACAAGTAGAGCGGGAATGAAGAAGGGATTGGAGTGTGAGAAGTAGACTGAGGAGAGAGTCATCCAATGAGGGTGACACATATGAATCAGATAAAGAGGTGAGAACTTTATATACATAAAGACTATCTAAAATAAGATTAAAAGGTTCAGAAGAAAAAGTTTGTAAGGCAAATATTGTAGCAGCAAGTTCAGCACGCTGAGCAGAAGTTTGAGGAGGAGTAATTTTTGTGTGCCATTGTTCACCCTCCTTCCATACACATGAACCATAAGTCTTGCTGCCATCAACATACAGGGTGACAGCGTTAGGAATGGGAAAGGAGGAAATGGGAGAATGCAAAGAAATTGAAACATTATTAAGGAGTTGGAAGCAAGGGTCAGAGGGAATATGACAGGAAACAGATCCTGCCCAGTCAGCAAAAGAAAGTTGCAATACATCTGAAGAGTGTAATTGAAGCAAGTGCCTTGGGGTTGATTCCCCTTTTGGATTGCAGCTGCAAGAGTGTCCATTTGAAAAGCATTGGTTCCCACAATGCGAC